CTCTTGTCCTCACCCACCCACTACCTGAAAGCATAAAGGGTGGAGTGAATCCAAACGTCTCTCAGTTCCTTTACCAACAAAGAATCCTGGAGGAGTAGAACGCCAAAGGAGCAAGGAAGGAGGGCAGGTTGTGCAATCCATGTGGGCAACACATCTCAAAAAACCACAATTACTTCAGGGTATGCAACCGTTCTTTCTTCTTCAAGTGAGCGTCTAGCAATGTTGGTGACTAACAAGCAGTTGTCTGTTTGCTTGAAGATGGGTTGTAGGAGTCCTTCTCAAACAATGACAGCAGGACAGCCCTACCGAAACAGGGATCTGAACTGGAAGACTCTACCAAAGAATAGTGTCTTGTAAAGGTGTGGACTGAGCTCCACATATCTAGTCTGTTTGCTACTCAAAGGTTGGACTATACAGCCACAAGAACACATGTGATACTGTGATATCATCATCACATGCAATGGACAACCTGTAGTTGGTAGGAATATGAGTACTGAGGGGGGTATTAGGAGGGATATTCCCAATGAGTCCTAGATCTTTTCCTGCTACCTCTTATGGAATTTCCCCTTCAGTCTCTTCCTGATTCTATTGTGCCACCCAAGGAGGGGGAGGTGAATGGAAGATGACTCCCTGATGTTTCTAGATGGGGATGAGGAGCAGTAAATGTCATCTAAGGGATAGGCCATTCTATCTGTGTCTTGTCTTGTCTCTGGGGGAGGGAGAGGTTGGTGTGATGAACTAATATACATTTGTACATGTCTGTATCAAATTGTGACTTTCCTTGACACCACCATTTTGAAGAACTTGCATTTGACTTGCATTTTGAGTGTGTAGCTGTGATTGCCTAGAGATTGCAAGGATAGACCAAGGCAACTTATTTTAATGCCAGTCACCTCCATGAAGTGACTAACACAAGAGGGGGTCACAATACTGGTTTAAGGGTCTAGGGCAGCTGGATTGCAGAGTCCTACATCCCAAGGGGCCACACAGGAGGTCTGCACCTGGAAGTGTGACTGGATACTGCCCAGATCTAACTGGCTTGGAGGCATGTGGTCCAAAGGTCAGGTCCAATTACAACAGACTGATGACTGTCCACTAGGGGTACAGAGGTGGTAGGTACCAAGGCACTTTGTACCAAAGCTGAAACCTATTGAAGAAAAGATTAGATTTTTCCCCCCAATGGGCAACATCTAACTATAACAATAAATTAACTAACAATCACATAAACATTAAGATTACTAACTAACGTCAGTAGCACAGTGCACATAGAAAAAGGGGAACTCTTCAGGAGTTCAGTCTCACTGGCATGATCAATAAGAGAAACTGAGGGTCAGTAGGGCCCATTCCACCCTTATTGCCCTTGGGGTGGAGATGAGCAAGGACAGTTAGGGTACAGGCACAGCCTGAACAGACACTACTGGCCAAAAGAATCAGGAAGCATGACACAAAATATCAAAGAGTTGAATCCATGTGGACAATTACATGAAGAACTAAAAATTAGGAACGCTACAATTACACATTCAGAGAATGAAAAATATTCACAAAGTTCATTTTTCAGTTGAACAAAAATGTGATGTCACAACAAAGCAATTGTTCATAATTTACCTCATTAATGATCTGATCCTACAAGGTGCTAAGTACCCATATCCACTGACATCAATGCTTTGTATTTTCTAGAATCAGCTCCTTGAGTAGGATTTCATGCCATAGAGCAACACTCAGCTTTTTCCTCCTACATTGCTTTCCCATCATAATAAATACCTTATAGATTAAATCTTACTGTGATAGTATGTGTTAAAGCTGGCAGCGTAAGTCTTCTGAACAATCTGAGAGTATAAGCACTTGTCTACATGTCACAGCAAAGCGCATTCGAGGAGTAATTTGTAAGGTGCTCTAATGTGCTGTGCTGTAGCAGCCCTTTATAGACCCAGCTAGTGCAAACTATAAGGTATCTAGTTTGCCTTAATGTATATGACAAAACACATAAGAGAGAATTACTCAACCAGCAAAAATAAGACAAACGGTCTTCCTCAGCATTTTAAAACACAAATTATCAATCTGAATAATTAAGGAAAATTAAAAACATAAAATAAGGATTGGGTCTCAAAGGATGACTAATTAATAATATATCAAACTCAAAGCTGGGACTACTCTGTTCTGCCAAGTTTTGCCACTGACTCACTTATCTTGGGCAAGCTACTCCATCTCTTTATGCCGCAGGTCCTCAACCTATTGACCCCAACCTAAGTGGGGTCAATAATAATTACTAGTGTTGTGAGAATTAATATAATGTATGCAACAAACTGGATAAAAGAGGCTATAAAAGTTGTATTATTTAGTGTTTCCTCAACATTTGGCATGAAATTATCTAGATACCATGTTCATTACACCTAAAAATTTATGATATTTACAGCTGCAAACATCAAAATAAATAATGTTATTTAAGATATTTTTGTAATTATATTTTACACTGCATTTATTCTTGGCGTACAAGCTCTTGTTTCAGAGATGAAGCATTTTAAATGCAGGAATGTTTTGTGCCCTTTTCTCTGCAATGTACTCAGAATTAAGAAACTGATGGTTTAACTGGGGAGGCCAGGTCAGTGGTGTGTAAACCACTTTAGTTATGACATCATTGCTTCTGCTCCTAGGAAATGTGGCAAAAATGCTCAGCACTTAAAAAGCTACAACAGGAACACAATTACATTATAAAATAACCTTTCAAAATACATATAAATATGTTATGCTTTATGTTTATGCACTGAAACATGAAACATTTTGGGGTTTAGTTCTCCTTTCATTTGGAAACTAGAATAAAACTCTCCAAAATACAGATATGTCCTTTGCTTAGATAGCCAACCTACCCCCATCCGCATGAATATCTATCTACTAGCCACTAAAACAGACATCAACCAAACCAATGAGCATCAGTCAGCAACAGAGCCCACTCTCAGAGTTTTACTTTTCCCCCTTAAAAAAGAAAAGAAGAAAGATTTAGTTCTTCTTTATACATAACCTTTTGGGGGGGGGGTGTCAAATTTCTTGATTTTAAGTGACCACTGTGGGAGGCGCATCTCCTTTCTGGATCCCCACTTTGAACTTTAGGGTACAAATGTAGGGGCCTGCATGAAAACTC